CCCTGAGCCCCCCGCTCAGCTCCCAGCGGCCCCTGCAGTGTCCCCCGCTCAGCTCCCAGCGGCCCCTGCAGTGTTCCCCACGGCTCCTGCTGCTGCGGCACCCGCGGCCCCTGATGCTGCTGCTGCGGCGCCCGCGGCCCTTGCTGGACTTGTGTCGGCGGCGCCCCCAGAGAGGCCTGTGCCGGCATCACCAGCGGCACCCCCTGTTGGCCCGGAGCCTGCTGCTCCTGTGGCGCCCCCCCAGGCTCCTGCTGTCACAGCGCCCCCTGTGGTCCCCGTGCCGGCAGTACCTCCTGCTCTGCCGACCCCCGAGGTACCTGTGGCACCTGCAACACTGCCCCTCGAGTTCCCCGTGGCCCCTGCGTTGCCTGCTCAGCCCTCCACGTTCCCGGGGGTCCCCGCTCAGGTCCCCGAGGCCCCTGCTGTTACTACCCAGTCCACTGTGCAGCCCACTCAGCTCCCCGCGGCTCCTGCGCTCCCCACTCAGCTCCCCGCGGTTCCGGCGGCTCCTGCTCTGGCGCACGTGGCCTCCGAGGCTCCTGCTCTGGCACCCGAGGCTGTGCTCCCAATGACTCCAATGCTCCGAGTGACTCCATTACCCTCTGCAACATTCCCTGAGGCACCCGAGGCCTCTGCTGCTGCTGCCCAAGTCCGTGTGCAGCCCCCGGAGCTCCCCGCAGGGAACTCCATGACTTCTGAGCTCCCCGATCAGCTGCCCGCGACTCCTGCGCAGGCCCCTGCGCTCCCAGCTCAGGTCTCCTAGGCTCCCGTGCTCCAAGCTTGGAGTCCCGGGGTCCCCAAGCCAGGGGTTACTGGTTCCCAGAAGGCTCCTGTGGGGTCTCCCGTGGCTCCAGGTTCTGTGGCCTTGGTTGCGTTGCCCGAGGTCCTGGCTCCGCCCGCAGCTGTGCGGCCCGAGGCCCTGGCTCCGCTCGCAGCTGTGCCGCCCGAGGTCCTGGCTCCGCCTGTGCCATACCCGTCGGCTCCGGTCCCGGTGGCTGACGCATCGACCCACAAGGGTCCAGACTCCCTGGTCCTGGTAGCCGAAGGTCCTACCCCGGCCACTGACACGCCACCCCACACGGCCTCGGTTTATCCAGTCCCTGCTCCCTCGGCCTCAGTCCCCCCGGTCCCTGCTCCCTCGGCCTCAGTCCCCCCGGTCCCTGCTCCCTCGGCCTCAGTCCCCCCGGTCCCTGCTCCCTCGGCCTCAGTCCCTGTGCCTCCAGTTCCCATGACCCCAATCCCCGAGGAGGTCCCCGAATTCCAGACTACTGCTTCTCCCTCTGTAGTGGAGTTAGAGGAGGAGCTTGAGTGGGACCCCTCGGGGATCTCCTTGATGTCCCCGGCAGCTCCCCCTGTGGACCCCTTCAGGGTGTCACCCCTGCCACCGGCACATCAGCGCGGTGTTTCGCGGCCAGGCTGCCGCCTTTCGGTCTCCCGAAAAGGGAGGGGGCATCGACGCCGGGGTAGGCTCCCGGAGTCCCCCTTCCTTCCCCAAACTCCGGCTAGGTGGTTGGCCCCGGCTTCATCTGGGGCACCTGCTCAGTCGGCCACGGCCCGCCTGCCGGTGTCCCCTCCACGGCCTGCGGGTCCCTCACCCGCGGCTCTCCCCACAGC